CAGGACCCTGGCAGATGCGAAGATCTAAGGATGCTCAGGTCGCTTCTGTGAAATGGCATGGGTCTCCACAGAACCCATATACCACCCTGGGCTTACATTGTCGCTAGATGATGTCATACCTCATGCAATGTCAGCGTGTGTGAATACTTGGTCTCGCTGTGTTGTTCAGGAAATAGTGACAAGAGAAGCAGTCTGCACGTGTCCAGTTGAGCTGCCATTGTCTTTCCTGAATGCTTTTGGTCTGTGGTTGGCTGAATGTGGATACAGAATTCCTGGGTGAAAAGCCAGCTTTACTTAGCTAAAGGCTCCGGGAGGCCTTGACCCTCTGAAGACTTTGGGGTCGTCTCCGGAGGTGACTCTCCTGAGGAAGCCTCTGTGCTATAAAAATCTCACATCTATTTTGAAAATGTTAGTATTGATTATTTCTGACTGGTTAATGTATGCCTATTTTTACCCCCATATTTGTAAAATTTTATCAGAAGTATATATTACCTTCATAGTAAGAAATAGGCCAATTTTCAGGGTTTGTTATTAAATACTGGCCTTTGTATGCCACAGACCAGAACTTGGCCTCCATAAAGACCAGATTCTTGGTACTTCAGGCTTTGCACACGAGATGGGGGGGGGTCATCATCCCAACAGTGGGTGTGGCTGAGCCAGGAGACTGACTTTCACAAGGAAATGCAGATGGACTTGTCCCCACGGTGTCATGTGCTTACCCTGCTGTGGGCACCTGTGGGTCTGGATTAACTGAAGGCCTCATGCCACCACACTTGGGTGTTGACAGGTTCATGATCACTGCTTTTCTCTTCTTGAATGCTTAGAAAAGCTGTCTTACCACAAAACCCAGATGAGCCAGAACGAGTATCCTCTCAACAAAGGACCGGAGTGATTTCCCCCATTTCAAAGCCATTCTTCAGACCGTTATTCAGACCACCGTTGTTTTGGCTCTGCCTTTCCTCAATTGAAAACAATAATATTTGGCAGGACTGAAGGTCCTGAGGCTCGAGTCACAAAGCACAAAATGCTGTGTGGTGTTCAATGCTGAGGCTGAAATTGTCACTTCTACAGCTAAATATAGGAAAACCAGGCCCTCAAGCCCATCCCCAATTTGTTTTCTTTTCCAAGTAAAGCCTTGGGAGGCTGCTGCCCTGGAAGGGGACACACACCCAGGGCAGGTAAAGGAAGCCCCCCCACGCCATGCCTGCTGGGAAAGGTCCTTCCAGCTTTTCCCGGTGTCTTAGGGGAAGTCACTAGAGGACTATGTTTCTCTACAGTCTGTTATGCCACAAGTCAGATGCTCATTCATTGACAAGCCTCGTTCAGGGTCCTGTAGGCATTGCACATGTGGCATGGGATGGGGAGGGACCGCCTAGGCCAGTGTGACTGGTAGTCTTAGAACCACTGATAGTTAACTGGGTATGGTAGCTCACCTGTAATCCCAGCACTCAGGAGGCTGAAGCCAGAGGACTGTCATAAGAGCAAGAGTAGCCTGGGCTACACAGTAAATTCCAGGCCAGCCTGGGCTGTAGAGTGAGACCCTGTTTCAAGAAAACCAAACAAATAAAAAGAAAATAAGAAGAGCGTGCACATGTGTTGGCCTCATTCGGAGGACAGGGCAGTACAGAGTAAGAGGTACGTAAGATCAGGTTGGCTTTGCCAAGAGACCCCTCCCCAACCGGTCCTGGGCAGCTTCCCCTGAGCCTTCTGTAGGACAGGCCTCCCCTCTTTCCACCCTCCTTCATCCTCCTTCCTGGTACTGGCTGATGACCTCTTGGGGTACTGAGTACCAAAAGGTACTGAGATTCCTGGGGAGCACCACACCCATCTTGCAGGTTCAACAGGGTACACTGATGGAGAGCTAGGACCCTGAAGGTCCCCTGCCATCTCTGAGGTGTCACTGTGCACCCTCTGCCTGACCATTGGGGCCCAAGTGTCCCAGCCACGGGACTCTGTGCCCACTGCCATCCAGGACTGCCTGACTCACAGCTGTGGCCTTTCCCCTCCTGTCTCCTCAGAGATTGCAGGTGTTGCCGTGTCTGAAATCTCAGGGCCCTTCTCCACAGAAGATATAGCCAGCAACTGCGTCCCGGCGCAGGCTCTGAACGAGCCCATCTTGTGGATCGTGTCCTACTCCCTGATGAGCGTGTGCGGAGCCGTCCTCCTGGTCCTCATCCTCCTCCTGCTGTTCCCCCTGCGTTGTCAGCACACAGCCCGGGACCCTGAGGTTGTTAACGATGAATCCTCACTGGTCAGGCACCGCTGGAAATGAAGAACTTTGTCTGGACTCCATTGACCTGGAACTCAACTCTTCCCAGAGGGATGCCTCTGGGCCACAGGCCTGGGATGCTGGCCTGGGATGTGGGTCAGGCTCCTCTGTCCGTTAGCCGAGATTCCCGAGGCCTTCTCCAGTCACTATAACTTGATTATTCTTGATTTTGAAGCTTCCAGATCTTCTTTTCTACTACAAGGGAGATGGTAATAAAAAACACCTCATTCTGAACCAAACAGTGAATTGGGCTCCAAGCTTTATGGAACAGGTTCCAGCAAATTGCCCAGGCAGTCTACCAAAAAAAATAAAATAAAATAATAAAATAGGCAGGCCGTGGCCAGTTCCCTTCACTCTTCAGTGGAAAACGGTGCCTAACCTGCCAGCCCTACCCCCTGGCCTATGGGAAGCTTTTGGTATTGGCCACGTTGAAGGTTATTTAGTGCCAGGCCCCCACCTGGACCAGAGCATCATGAGAAGGCTAGCAATATCCTCACAGGAGGGACAGCAGCCTTGAGCCTGTGATAGAACCACTCTGCCCTCTTCTGACCTTGAGATGGCCACAGGCCCTTGACTAGGTCTCTGGCTCCACGTGGATTGAGAATCCACTCTCGGATCATGCCCCTCCCCACCAGCCCTTGTCAGCCTCTTCTGCAGGTGGAAGCCTTTTGTCCATGTATGTAGAGCAGGAAGCAAACCAACTCTTGTGCCAAGATGCCTGTGGTGGTGTTGGTATACCCGTAGAAATACTACCTCCTTTGTGGCTTGGCCTGGCTCCTGAGCACGGGTCGGGGACATAGGCTGCCTGATCCTACCGTGAGGTGAGACAGAACAGGAGCTCAGCGTTCTGTTGCCAAGCTGGTCATTGTCACATACACCTACTCTGACTTCAAGTTAATTAGTCATGTTTTAATGAGAGAAAACAAATTTTCTCTCACTAGCATAATTGTTTTTTTGGTTTTTTTTTTTTTCCCAAACCTTCTCTGGAACTAAGTTGGTAATTACCGTGGTGGGAAATAGAGCCATGGCCAGATGCCCATGCTCTGACCAGCTGTCAGGGAAGGAAGACACATGACTTGGATTCATTTCCACTTTTCCGAGTCCTTTGAAATTCTGTTTCCCTTCACAGAACTCCTAGGGCCCCAGTGTGTGGTACAGAGCATCTTGAAGGAGCCTGGCAGCTGACCTGCACACTTCTTCCCTCTGGCATGGTAGAGCCTTGGCAATGGGGCTCCGTAGTATCTTTATTTACTGCTGTTTGAAAGAAAGTGGAAGCTTGAGCTCCGTGTGGCCACTTCTGACATAGTTAGAAAGGTGCAAGGCCAGTCTTCCTCCCCCCCTGTTCCTGTGCCAAGTTCAGTACTCACTGTGCGGTGCCGCTGGGGTGGGTTGGTTATAAAACACCATCCACTGGAAGTGCTCAAACATCCCCTCCAGCAGGACTGGCTTTGATGGTGGCTACAGACTTTGTGCGGATGTCTCAGCCATCTGCCTCACTCACCCAATCACCTCCACATGGAGAAATACATGGTTGTGCCAAGGACACCTGGGCGTGTCACGGTGAACTGGAAGGTTCCCTAGCAGCCAGGAGGATCTTTTGTGAGATTCTTGCGGGGGGTGGGGAAAGGGTTGAGCTGCATTTCAGAAGGAACAGCAGGCAGGAATAAGAGGGGTTAGCTTTGGGGGCGGGGTCTGTTCTCATGTGTTTATAGATGGATCTGGCCTACGCCGGTTGAGAGCTCATGATTCTAAAATGCATCACAGAGCTAGAAATCTCTAGAAGTGGAACTAGTGTCTTCCCCTGCTGAATTTTCCTTTGATTCTTGTCTAGGGGGGCTGCTTTGCTTGAAAGTGAAATTAGTTCTCCTAGACTGTGCTGTGAGGAATCTGAGCCCAGAAGTGGGAATTAGAGGGGACATTGCCCAACCTTCACATGCATGCCATCTGATTCTTTTCGCTGGGGCTCCTTTCCTGTGGTGCAGAAGGTTTCTGCAGCTCCAGGTTAGCGGGCGCCCTCCTCACGGTACAGGACGCCGGCAAGCAGGGCACCCAGGACGTTTACGATCATGTTCTGTAGCTCATGTCTCCGTCTCTGGATACCGTTAGAGGTGACATTTCAGTAGGAATACGTACATTACAAAAGCACAGCTTAGCAACCAGAATGAAATAGAGGGTTGAATCTAGGACATTTCCCTGGCACACGCTGCTTTCGGAAATTGGACTTTCAAGTCAAAACTGCAGAAGTGACAGTTCCTCCTCGGGGTCTGTAAAGTGAGACTCTGCTTGGTGGGCCTACAGGGAGATTTGCTTCGGCTAGGAAAGAAACAGTACTTCTTTGAGGCTCTCAGTTTCACCTCGAATATAATGGGGAAGATACTGGAAGACAGGGAAAGACGGTCCCGCCTGTAGGAGCCTCTCGGCTCCAATGAGCAATGGGTCTCCATGAACACTCTTATTTTAAATAAGCTGATGCTGCTGTTCCTGGTAAATTATTCACAAGACTGAAATGAGATCTTGCCTTCAAGTAACTAAATGTATTTTTACAATGATAACAAGAAATAAGATAGTTCTCTCTCCTGCCAGTGGGGATTTAAAAGAACCAGCAGTGCTTGGCACCTGGTCTCCTGGCGTGTGCTTGGATCTCTTCCGAACCACAAACAAGTGCCTTGCCTTAAAGAGGCAGGTGCCTCGCACTGGCCAGGAAATGAGATGTGCTTTTCCTGGGCACATCCTACTTCTCATCGTTTTGGGAAGACTTTATCCTATTCATGCTGAAACCCTGAAGTTTGGGTTTTGGATAAACTTGGGGTCAAAAACTCATGAGAATCAATTTCCAGAAAAGGACAGTAAGGACCCTGCAGAACTTAGAGGAACAGATTTAGAAAAGCAGCTGTGCTTAGGCGATTCCGTTCTCCCATTGATGAGGTGGGGAGGGATTATTTCATGATTTCATTAAGAACGGGATTTGCTATATTTCTCGTGCCTCCTGCCTCTTGCCTCGTTCTTACCTGGTAGAGCAGCTAGGCCTGGGTGAGTCCTGAGCTCTGGCTTTCTCCCTGGGAACAGATCAATACCCAGAAGTCTGTTTTACGGCCAAGCATAATTGAATATTACAGACTTTATTAGTGGAAACCAAACACTTGGACAACATCCCAGTATGTTTTCTTTACACAAACTTACAGAATTGATTATAGAAGTGTCCAGAGGGGGTTAAAAAAAAAAAATCACGTATTTCTAAAAGGAAA